TAGGTTTTTATTTTTCTTTTCTCTGTTTTCATTTTTCATTTTCTAATTTTCTCCTCTCTTTTTCTTTTTCTTTTTTCTACTATCTATATCAAAATATTGAGGGGATCCCCGGTTTGCAATCTATATCAAAATATTGAGGGGATCCCCGGTTTGCAACCCAAATCTTTCAATTTTAGAGGCAAAACCACCTTCTGATATGGAGAATCCAAATCCGTTCCTGTATTTTTACACACCTTTCTGAGGAAGTAGACTTTGTATATATGTCCAACAGAAGACTGTTGCGTCTGATTCTAATAATAATTACGTGAAGTCAACGACACAGTAACGTATTTATTAACTTTTTGTAGTCTAACACAATGTGTCATACGTGCTTACTTATCTGAATTTTTCAATTAAAATATTTATACAAATTTTTCATACAATTTTTATATATGTCAAATGCTTGACAAATTTATGAAAATTGCATGAATACAACTTATATTCATTTTGATTTCTTGTAGGATGATTCCCCAATTATAAACTATTATATAATATATGTGAGTACTTACCAACCCTTACCTTTTCATGAATATGATAGTTTGAAAGTATGTTTATGATCTAAATTCGATAATTCATCAAGTTCGTTTGGGAGTGATTCTAGATAGACCATAATCACTTTGGGGGAGAAGCAACTTCCATGTGCTTCTTCATATAATTACTTTTTGTGATTTTAAGTAATTAATCAACTTCCAAACGAGCCCTCACTTAACAAATGATATATGAATTACAGTCGATATCATCTGCTAATAATCCAATAGGATTTAATACAATATATAAAATTTGAATCTCTTATGAGTTGAAAACATTTAAACCTTTTTAGTTAATTAAAAGGTTTGCTACCAAGGAACTACATTTCAAATTAAATAGTCAATTTGCAATTTTTATACAAGCGATATTGGGAAGAGGAATTTAAATCTATAACTTAAGGTGTAAGGGTCAATGCTATTAACAAACCACTTAAACTACAAGTTTCTTGCTAATTTTTATTTATTTATATAAACATTAAAGACGCTATTTGTAAAGTTAAAATTTTCAATTGTTCTTTTTTTTGGCAATACATATTAAACAAATCAGATCGGGTTATCCTATGAGATATTTGTTAACTTAACAAATAGGACATGAATTTGTTTATTATTAATATGTCGGAATAGAAATCGGATCAAATATACCGTATTTCATTTTGTCCTATGTATACAAATTTGTATATACTTGGAATTTATAAATAATTTACTATTCATACGTTTATTAAATTCGTAAGGCAAGTCAAGCATTCTTTCTTACTGTCCAAAATTATTATAAAAAAAAACACACCCACAAAATTATTTCCTGCTTAGTTGTCTCGTTTTCTTATTTCGGAAGGGTATTATACTTCACCCGTCACAATAAAAGTATAGAATTATGTAGTTTATCAAGAAGAAAAAAATAAAAAATATATTGTATGCATTGGTAATTGACATTGAATACGGTGTAAAATAGTAAAAAAATATTTCCCTTTCGCATTATTATTTATTTATTATAACAAGATTGAAAAGGAAACTTAAAATACACAAAACCCTTGTCTTTAAAAATAAAAATAATAATAATAATAATACACAGAGCACTCATTCTCTTTACCCCCAGGGGGATAAACAATAACCCAACGATCTTTACTTTATTTAGAAATAATTATTAACTTTATTTTCATTTTTGGATATATAACAAACAAGGTACTAAGATTTGTAAAATGGTAAAGAGTTGGTGGGTTTGAATGGAATTGACTGCAAGAAAAGAAGATAAGCTCTGCAAATCTGCAGTGTTTTTAGTACGTTTTCAAAGCCACACCTTTCTCACGACCCCGCAGAAAGAAATACGAGAGTGGCAAAAAAAGAAAAAAAAAACAGATGACAGATCAATCCCCAAGTTCTAACCTCGTGAACTTGTAAGGTCAAGGAGGTAGCATGTTAGTCTCTGTTAGTCTTTTGGAATTATGGCTCTGCCTCTCTGGCCTCTCTGGCCTCTCTGACTCTCTGACTCTCTGAGTCTCTGAGATGTTGTTTCTGAAAAAGCTTCTGTTCATCCCCAGCTCATCAGAATTAGGTATGGAAAACGTTTTCTCGACCCCAAGAAAAAACAATAGTAAGGGAAAAGTTTTTTATAATGTATTTAAATATTTATATAATATTATTAGCTATCTACATATATAAGATGCCAAACGAGAGAGTGCACACGTACGTGGTTTTATTAAAGGAAATCAAAGGCAGTTTTAGCTTTTATAACTCTAGGGAAAAATCGGCGCACGCACATAAACATATACAAGAAGAAATTCTTAATTTGGACAAACGAAACTTAGCTTGTGTTTGTATTGTTCTGCGTTGTATGTATGCAATTTATTTATTTTTTGGATGTGGAAAAGAGAGTTACAAGACAAAGCGTCTAGAGCACGCAAACTTAAAGAGGTCAAAATAGAAAGGAGAAACAACAGATAAGGGGACATGATGATCCCAAATACAATGCATCTGCATTGTATGTATGTTACTGTTGTCGATCATTGCTAGTTTTTTTTCTTTCTTTCTAGATGCTTGGATTTGGATCAATCAATATGGACGTTATATATCATGGTTATCAAATTTCAAATTCAAACTAAGCTACTATTTTCCTGAAATTTGACATAAGGAATTGAATATGTTTCCTCAAATTAACGATGATATATATATATATATATCTCATACATCTTTAAGTAGTGAAAATATTCTAAACCTAATGAATGGGGTTATTGACTATTTCAGGATTTGGTCGTGAAAGCAAAAGCTTGACTGAGATCGATTCACACTCAAGTGATCGATTCAGGACCCGACTTGAGAGTGTTACGTGCTACACGTGCCTTTTCAGTTTGGTCTCTTTGATTAACATCAATAACTCTCACTCACTCACTTATGTTGGAACGAAGACATGGAGTAGTCAAGTCAACATGATTAACAATGATGTTGAAAAACGTTGCGCAGTTGTGTAGGTATGCATCATGCATGCGTAACACTTTACATATGAACACAAACATAATTATTGACAAGCGGAATGTGTCAAGCCCAACCAGTCGTGTCTCACGGTTATTCATCAAATGCTATAGCGCGTTACTTATTAAAATTAAATTAAGTTCGAAGTATGACGCATCATTAATTTGATCAACAAAAATTAGAGAAAAAAGAAAAGAGAAGAGTCTTGTTTGAATTTGAAACCTGTATAAATCCTTGGCTGATCAGCCGCCTGCTGAGCATGGTAACATTGCTTGCTTGCTTTGGTTTGTTGGACCTTGGAAGAATCGAGACCGACCGTTAAAACAAATGTACAAGTATCGTGTACGTAGTTGGGCGGCTATCATCATCGTATGGTGTAAGCAATGACCGCAGAATATGATAGGTATTGGCCCATTGGGTGATGATGGTTTCTCTATAGATTTTGGTTCTGAATTTTCTGCCCAACTGATGATAAGAGATAGAGAGATGTATCCTTTTATGGCCGGCCACCCATCCAAAATACTCTAAATAATGGCGCGCATGGGTCACGTGGCCAATGAAATCTTGCTTAGCGCTTCCACATGGAAAACCTCCTAGGGCACGTGGGATATAATATAAGTTGGTTTAGTTTTACGTGGCAAACAACGGCAGGAAGGAACACACAAGAAAAATAAAATAAAAATTTATGGGGGGAAAAGAAGAAAAATAAAAGGTTTATATATCACACCCACCCACTGTGTACTTGGCTTGGCCTTTTCAAAATGATATCGGATTAGATGTCTTGTAGTTGTTTTAAGATGGCAGACATGGCTTGAGCTTCTTTAAAATATTTGGTTTCCCATAACCTAGAGATTCGAATTCGATTAGTCCGACGATACGTTTTGATACTATAATCACGCCATGCTTATTATTAAAATTGTGGAAAAAAATTCGTTGTTGGTCCTTATGGTTTATTGGATTTTTCATTCTGATTCATGTGATTTCAATATTGGTACTTTGACCTCAATAGTTTAGTGCTCTCACAATTTGAGGACACGTTTAAATATTTCGTTCAATTCTGTGACAAAGTAAGCATGTGTCTCTAACATATTTAAAACGTAATTGGAAGAAAATCGATATAATTTGAAACATGTCATTGAATTAAGAGAAATTTAAAATCACGTGGATAAATTTAACATATTTGAAATTAGGAGGAGTGATGAAAAAAAAGGGGGAAAATCAGAGACCAATAATGACATAGCAAAGTTAAAGACCAATAATGACATTTAAGTTTAAAGTCTATGATCCCACATGTTGAACTTGATTAAATTTATGAAAAATATATATGATTCAGATTTCATATATATAAAAGAAACAAGAATCACATTCTATACCAATAGAAGTCTTCTTTCGTTTCTCAATGATGAAGTAAGACTAAGCTCATGAGCTTATTATTCTAGGTCGGAACAAGTTGATAGAATCTTCTTTTTTACGTCCCTACTATATGATGGTGTAGGGACGTAAAAAAGAAAAGATATACACTATCCATTAGACGATTAACGCTTTTCATTCCAATTTAAATATTTATTGTTCCAAAAAGTAGTTGCAAAGAATTCCAAAAATTGCCCATACAAGTCAATGATGCATGATATTAATTAAAATAAAATAAAAATGGTCTCTTGTAACCTCTTTTTTTTTTTGTTTTGGGTGTGGGGACAAATCTCTTGGTCAACGGACTAATCTTTTTTATTTATTTATTTAATTTTTTTGTACATGGGTCCAAATGATTGGGCCTTAAGATGGGCCCACCAATGCCCATGAGGCCTGATAGAGTCAAAGTTACGGCGACAAACAAGCCCAGCCCAATATATCACCCGCCACGGGCGACCCGCCACCACGGGAAAGGGTTTTGGGCATTATACAAAATGAGAAGGGCATTTGTGTAATTTCACACCGTATACTAATGAACCAGATTTGTTTTCTCTGAATCTGAATTGCTATCACATTCGAGCTCTCATCACAGGTCATCGTCTCTCCCCTGATTTTACCCTCTTTAAACCTGCGATTGAGCTCCGTCTGCTTCGTTAGGGTTTTCATTTTTCTTTCATTGTTTTTTTTTCCTGCAGAAGGGGGCATCTGGTTTTTGATCATCCCCTTTCTCTCCTGCAACATCTTCAATTTTCAGATCGGGCAGTGGCAGATCGCGTAAATTTGAATTTGACAAAATGTACGGCTTCGAGGCGATGACGTTCAACATTCACGGCGGGTACTTGGAGGCCATAGTACGGGGACACCGTGCGGGCCTTCTCACTGCCGCCGATTACAACAATTTGTGCCAGTGCGAGACCCTCGACGATATTAAGATGCACCTTTCTGCCACCGAGTATGGGCCCTACCTCCAAAATGGTGCGTTCAACATCTATCTTTCTCTGATTTTGTGAGCCCTCTGTTTGTTTCCTGAGGAAATTGAACAGAATTGGAAACTGAATTTTGGATCGAATGCTTAGATTTAGGTGTTTGTTCTGGACTATTAGTCTAGCGTATCGATCTGAGATGTAGGTTATATTAGGGCTTGGAGTCGGTGTTGGTTCAATTGAATTAGAATTAGTAAGAGCAGCACTATGATCCAACCTTAGTGTTTCACGAATGCTATGGTTTTAAATACGCGAACTTTGCAGGCGGATTAATATATTAGGGTGCATTTGGATATGCTGAATAAAAAGGGGGATTTGGGTTTGGCTGCTTAGTTTATATTGTTTGCATCAAATGTTAAGTAAAGATAAAAGAGTTTGATACTTTTTGTTAATGGATTGAAATAAAACTTTTTGTCTAAGTGATTAAAGAGTGAATTTGATCTGCACTCTGTATAACTTCAATTGTGTTTCTGAAGAAGAGTATCACAATTAAGGTGTTCCAAAAATACGTGCATCATTGGGACTGTGAAACTGAAGGAACAAAAGTAGGCTCAACTTAATGGAAGACAAAAGGATCAATCTTTTTCCTCCTTATGCATACAACTACATTTGACAACTCTCTGTCTCTCTCTCTCTCTGAAGTCAATATTCATGCTCTGCTTATTTGACAACTTTCTCGCAGAACCGTCCCCATTGCATACAACTACAATTGTGGAAAAGTGCACCCTTAAATTGGTTGATGAGTATAAGCACATGCTATGCCAAGCCACAGAGCCCTTGTCAACCTTTTTGGAGTACATTACGTATGTAGCTTGCTGTCTGATTTTTGTTATTTTTTTAATGTAGTTTATTTTGTATTTTATTATAATATGAGAAAAGGTGTTGGGACCATAAACTTGATTTGGGCCTTTGCCGGGGTAGTACTGAGCATATAACACTGGGCCACTTTCTGGCCTTTATTCAAGGCTGGAGGATCTCTATGAAGTGTGAAATTACCATCTGTTGTGAAATTTATAAATAATTCATAACTAACATTGAGTTGTGATTGGGAATTTAATGTTTCTTATGCTCCATCTAGATATGGCCACATGATAGACAATGTTGTCCTGATTGTTACTGGAACCTTGCATGAGAGAGATGTTCAGGAACTCTTGGAAAAATGCCACCCTTTGGGCATGTTTGACAGGTATTGCATCCTCATAGATTTCTGTATTTCATTTTCTTTTATTTTCCCTTGTATCTACGTGTTTTCTTTGGCTTTTTAACATTCTATAAAACACCCAACTGAATTTCATTTTTGTCTCCTCAGCATTGCCACCCTGGCAGTTGCACAGAATATGCGGGAGCTTTACAGACTGGTGCTTGTTGACACACCACTTGCTCCTTACTTTTCTGAATGTATTACATCTGAGGTACAATTAGTGATCCCGTACCTTTATTTTCCAATTTTTTCTGTTTCTGTTTCGGTAGGCATCCTTAATAACATGTGTTATTGCATCGATGGATGAGATGTCATCATCAAAACAATAATGGAGCCTCATTAGGGTGGGGATTGGGGCTAATATTGAATTTGATAGTTGTAGAAGGTTTCTGATTTTTAGTGTGTTCTGATTTTGTATTGCTCATTCTTTTTTACAGGACCTGGATGATATGAATATTGAAATAATGAGGAATACTCTTTACAAGGCATACCTTGAAGATTTCTACAGGTTTTGTCAGGTAAATTTTGATTTCTAAATCAAGAGTTTCATTCAAATTTTGTATCTTCTCATTAGTTTGGTTTTGATCTTTTGGACAGAAACTAGGTGGCGCCACAGCAGAGATCATGTCTGACTTACTTGCTTTTGAGGCTGACAGAAGGGCGGTCAATATTACCATAAATAGGTATGCTAATATTGAGGTGCTGACAAGTTTTATTGAGATCATAGCTTATGTGGTTTCAGCAATCTTTTCATGGCCTCATGCTATTTTTCCTATGCTGCAGTATTGGAACTGAGCTTACTCGTGATGATCGCAGGAAGTTGTATTCTAGCTTTGGTTTGCTGTAAGCTCTTTGGTCATCCTGATTTGTTGGTGGCTTTTATATTTTTAGGTTCTATTCTGGATTGCTATCTCTGATAACTATTTGCTTGTTTCTTACAGTTATCCCTATGGCCATGAAGAACTCGCTGTCTGTGAGGACGTTGATCAGGTATGCTGTGTGTTTCAAGTGGTTTTATTTCTTGCCTAAATGGTGCTCCAGCTCTTGCTCCGTCTTTTCTTAAAGACCTTCTGCTATTTGAGGCAACAATAATGTGTTTCCTTCTGCATCATTATGTTTGAAGAAAAAGAATGAAAGTTAAAATTTATGACATTGTTTGTGTTCTCTGCATGATATCACCAGTCTGAATATATTTCTGCCACACTTAACTTCCTTCTCATCATATCTGGTCTCGATTCTGTCAAATACGAACATCAGTTGATTATGCAATCTCGTTACTCATATTCTTAACATTTTCAAGTTGTAGTAGTGGTTTTCTCTTAGCCATCTACTTGTTTGTTGTTGTAGGTCCGTGGTGTCATGGAAAAATATCCTCCATATCAGGCTATCTTTTCAAAACTATCCTATGGTGAGAGCCAGATGCTTGACAAGGCATTTTATGAAGAGGAGGTGAAAAGGCTTTGCTTAGCATTTGAGCAACAGGTTGGTACTGCAGTTACTGTGAATCCATGTCTGTTTCATTTTCTAGGCCACACTTATCCTCAGTTCTCCATTCAGTCACTTGACATATTTGCCTTCTGACCTGCAGTTCCATTACGGTGTTTTCTTTGCATACATGAGGTTGAGGGAGCAGGAGATCAGAAATCTTATGTGGATATCTGAGTGTGTGGCTCAGAACCAGAAGTCCAGAGTTCACGACAGTGTGGTCTTCATATTTTAGTTTGGATTGGGACTCGAGACAGATCATTAGAGATAATTATTTGTTCTTTTGCATAATCTTCTGTAAATCTCCTCCCCGTCTTATCCTGGAACGAATTGTAGAGATGGGGGTGCAGTTGCGTTGTTTGCAATATCTGGTGTTCCTAATAAGCACTTTTGCATATATTCCAATTGTTCTTTTTAGAGGGAAAATGTCTTAAATTCCGAGATCGAACATGTGTCAGTTGTGAGGATAAACTGAATTTATGTATTGTAATTTGAGATATAATATAGTAGCACTTATTCAAACTCATTACAATTTAGCATCTTGCATTTGGACACCATTCTAACTTCCTGAAGGCTGTGGACCGAACAGTTTGAAGCTATAATCGTTAACTGTAGATGCTTTCTTCCAAGTGGAAAAACAAAAGTACAATTAACACCAAAATAGACAAAATTGCCCTTATTTATTTTTGGATTTTTTAAAGGAATTTTTTACATTTGCATGCCTTTGATTTGAAAGTTAAGAGGTTTTTCTGTCTTTTTCCAAAAAGTTTTTATTTTTTTAGAAGCGAAATTTTTTTTTGGCGAAAACCTAAATTTACTATCCACCCAAACGTATGTTGGTATGGTCAAAAACGGCATGACGTCTCTCTGATGGAAAACACACTTTCTTCGCCCGGACAAAACAGTAAAAAACTGCGACTTCTTTTGTTCTGTACTCTTCGCTCCCAATTGTTAGGGTTTTTTTAAATATTTTTCTTCGATGGAAGCGCCATGACCGTCATCTTCGCCGATGAGTGAGAACCAGAGGCCATCGTCACCGGCAACAAGCATCACTGATGTGAACGTCGACTCGCTGGCTCAATGCGCCGGCTATCTCAGCCTCCGAGACCTCTCCAACATGTCCATGACCTGCACGTACCTCAAAAAGGTTGCATATTCCGACTCCATCTGGCAACGTTGGTTCAGGTCCAATTATACTCTTTTCCAGATACTATTTCCTTACCCTCTCTCTACTTCCTGTATTTTTCTGTTTACAGAAAACTCTTTCAAATTCATTTGTTGCAGGGAAAGCTGGCCCCGGCAAACACCTCCCGCCGCCTCGCAAACGGTAGGAGTGAGGGAAGCTTATTTGTGTAGGCGCAAGGATTTGCTGCAATTCAAGTTTATCAATCCCCTCGTCGCCGATTTCTATACCAATTCAAGTCCTTTCGACCATGTGTTATTGGACAATAACAATATAATCTTCTCTCAGGTAATATCATGTGTAACCCTTTCTTTTCCATGAATCTCTGAGTTTGAATAGTTGGGCATCTTTAACTTTGCTTTATGTTACTTACTTAGGGCTCAATGATACAAGTGATAACGATTGATAGCTGGTTAAGTGGAGCGAACTCACCTGTCACTTTAAGTGATCACAACGCAAGAATTACTTGCATGAGGTGGGCTGTGTGTGGTTTTTTAATCCTAAAATCTTGGAATGTTTATGATCTTTTAATCGTAAAATCTTGACATGAACTGCAGGCTGTTTCCACTGAATGAAACATCTTTATATCGAAGGGAAGCACAAAACGAGGAGAATGTTTTGGTAACTTCAAGCTCTGACCATTCCATTCGGCTATGGTGGAAGGTATTACATTAGTTCAGAATATTTTTATACGCTCTTATTTGTCAGTTTTTTCATACCTTTGGTTTCTTCATTTTTAATTCAATCTTATAAGTTCGGATGGGTTAGGCTCTTAATGTTTTGCTCTAACCCAATTTATCAAGTATCTGTTCTTGTAATATATCGTTCCCTATGTGATTTAGTCACTATTGTTGTACTGTAATACCGTTGTCAGTAGTTTACATTTTCTGTCCTCTAAAGGTCCTAATCATATTATTTTGTCACAGGGTTCTTGCCGACGATGTTTTAGAGGTCACAGTGGCCCAGTTTCAGCCCTGTCAGATAAATTGTTAGGCAATGGAGCAGGAAAAGTAATGGCAAGTGGAGGGGAAGATGGCACAGTTCGCCTTTGGTCTCTAAGTTCCAGTGGGAAACGTGGCCAGCATGCTTTAAAGGCTACTTTCTATGGGCATGAGAAGCCCATCCGGTTGATGTCAGTTGCTGGGTATGAGGTTGTTCCTTGAGGGGTTATGTGTTTCTATTTAGTAAAACTAAATAAACGATGTGCCATCAATGTCTATTTAACGTCTAAAAAGATGATAAGCTAATGTAACATAGAAGATAATTTCCAGATATCTACTGCATCTCATATATAATCATTTACAAACGTTTCTGTGCTTTGGGTGACACTTCTTCAATTATGCTGATCTATTTATTTTGGTCTTATTGATAGGCACAACACCTCTCTCTTGGTATCCGTTTCAAGAGATTCTAAGGTATCCTCAATTATCCATTCAATGCTGTTCTTATCGGATCTGGTCATCCTTGTGAATTTTTGTTATTTGTCATTGTCCGATGATTGCGGTTTCTAACAGGTGAGGGTGTGGGATACAAATACATCATCTTCTGTTCGTTTTTCATGCTGTGTGGGGATGACCTCTGTTCTTGGTGCCCCTATAGACATTAAGTGTCATGAACAATTGGTCTATGTTGCTGCTGGTTCCTCTGTTATGGCAATTGATTTGAGGACAATGCAAAAAGTTGTCATTGCTACAGTAGATGCAAGGCTGTACTCTTTTCAGGCAACGCCTTCAAAATCTTTATTCTGCGTAGGCACCAATGGCAGGTACGGCGAGTAGAATTCCTTGGTTTCACTTGTTTTTATCCAAGTTGTAGAACTAGGTTTATTGAGAAAAAGATGTGCCTGAATGTTGCAGGGCAATGCTTTACGATATAAGGAAGAACCAGGGCACCCTGAAATCAGAACCAATAGCGGAGTTAGATGGTGGACACACAGCGCCGTTGACATACTTGCACATGGATCCATACAAAATAGTTACAGGAAGCCCGGAGGATTTTTATGTTAATGTTTGGGAGGCCAAAACTGGTGCAAAAACTAATTCCTTGGATTGTTCTCTTCCAGATGAAACTTCTACCAGTTTTGGGTGTCGTGCTCTGGCTGTAAATGGGTGTCGAATTGTTACTGGCATTGCCAACTATGATGAAGATGTGGGATGCTTACGCTTCAGGGACTTCACAAATGCTTCTTGTCCTGTCTTTAATCGTGAAGATGATCATGTTGCAAAGTTTTGGAACCCACTATCTTACAGTGATTCCGATAGTTCATATGACTGAATAAATTTTTCTATATATATGTTGTTGTATACAAATATTGATCATATTACAAGTTTGGAGTTGGTTTCTAGCTATTGTTATTTGAGAGAATCTCTTCAACCGTCTATGGGGCAGCCGCCACCACCATAGCTGTTATCCTTCTTCTGATCCTAATTACTGCCATAACCACCACCAACTCAGCACCAATCCTCGGCCTTGACGCCTTCCTGACCCACCAATCCATGGTCGTTAAAAATGTTGTTTTAGACTGACTTCCATGGTCAATAAAAATGTTGTCCTTTCATAACTAACCGGAAAAAGTTGAACTTGCAGCTGTTATTGTCCCACAAACAAAGTATGGACCTTGGGTTTCACGGACAAATTCTCTGTGCATTTCTATTTATTCTCAACAGAGAAGACAATATGAATATGGCAGTGGAAATCAGTTGGGACAAAAAGTTCGATTTTCCCCATCAATGCTCATAGAGTAATGCTCCTAAATAAAGCTAAAATGGCCAAAAAAACAAACAATTGTACTCTGTTAGGTAAGAACCATTATTTTACTTGTCAATTTTACATATCGGTGGAGAAGACAGTTGAACCTCAATCAAAAGTGCATGAGAATGTACGGATGAGCAATTCAGATATCGTTTATTTTTATCTATGTCACTTTGGAACTCTCAAAGTTTTTATATATATTTTTTTCTTGTTATCAATCTCAGTCCAATAGGAATATAGATTAAAACGAGGTGAGATGCAAAATCCAAAAGAGTTGATAAACCTTACAAACCCAAAATCATATACTCGATGTTCTTAAGAAATTTACATGCAGCCAAGCCAATACTCGACGTGATTTAATTTACATGGATATGCAGTTTCATGCTATGTACTTCTGATGTGCCAGTTCTGCTATTTACAAGTGACACAAAATTTCTTCCATATGAACAAGTTCTGTTTCCCGTGTTGCATTTAAGAAAAGAAAAATAGAGAGTCCGAGGAGGCATTTGCTTTTGATGGCTGACTGAGCAAAATGGTGCTTGCAATGCTGCTCCATGAGTTGTCTCCATCAGAGTTGGACGAGCAAACAAAAGGGTTGTCGCCGATTCCATCATAGAAAATTCCATTGAACTCATCATCACTACCAACCTGTGTCTGGTTCTTCGTTTCTTCGCCGTCAGCACTTTCATCCTCCGAGAAGTTTGCATTCTTCTGAACCAGTTCTCTGAAGATTGAAGACTGAAGGAGGAGGCCAAGTGCGGTGGGAGAAGATGACTTGCTACCAGTGTTAAGTGGGACGCTACTTCTGGTGACTTTTTGCTTTTGAGGAGAGCTCAAGTAACCAGAGGCAAAAGGGTTTGTGTGTGAGAATGAGGGCTCCTCTGTTGGGATGTAGCTGTTGGCCATGAATGGTAGTATATTCTGAGGCTCTGCAACTGTCTCTGGTTCTTGAGTGGCTATCGGATAGTCAGCTCTTGGCTTTAACCATCTTATGTAAGAACTCAAGTCGAAGTTTGTCACAGCATTGATCCCTCTGTACTCAATTGCTGCAATGTCATAGGCACGAGCAGCTTCCTCTTGGGTGCCTGCAATGATACATTGATTGTTTTATGATTTTCAATTGCAAAGTTTACTTCACAAATATTCAAACTAGTTTTTGGACGTTACATAATGTTATAATCAGATGTGGAAATAACTTACTGTAAGTGCCAAGGTAGAGGTACTTGTTTCCGAAAACTCTTCCTATTCTTGCTTCCCATCTACCATTATGATGGTGCCTGAAATTATGAACCAAATAGTCTTTAGAAACTGTTTGTTCGTTTGTAGTTTTTTTCAAAGAAGTTGATTTGATTTGATCACCACAATATTAATAAGAATATTACCTTGCTACTCCTCTGTACTTAGATACACCTCTTGAAAAGCCACTGCTCTTTCTGAAACAAACATACAAATCATTTCAGGAAACCGGCCAAGGAAATTCCTCAGTTCAGTAGTCTTTCAACGCATAACAAAAAATGTTTGAAGTCCTACCTTCGTAACGAGGCCAAATACTCTTCTTTTGTTACAGTCTGCATTATCTCAATTTCTTCCTCATAGTCTGATATCTGTAAACAGCATCAAGGTGTGAGATCATGAATTTTTACCCCTTTTACTACTAAGCTACATATTGTGTGTCTGATCAGTGATCAGGTTCATACCGCGAAGTTTGTGAATGTTGACGTTCCCCAATACTTAAGTGCAGCTAAATCATATGCCCTTGCAGCAGATTCTTCTTCATCATAAGCTCCTGAGAACACAAAGATTAATAAAAGATTAATATGTTTCACTTACAGAATTAGCAGTAAGTTTTAAGACTCAAACTGAACAAACTCAATCATGTAGCAAAATCTACTCACCAAGATAAACTGCTCAGTCCCAAGAATCCATTCCGAATCACAATGCAATAGAACACAACACAGGGAACCAGATATCAGCGTCTAGGAGGAAAAGCAATAGATAATTAAACAGAGTGAAAGAAATGCAACAATGATATTTACCTTGTTTCCCTTTCTTCTTCTGCGTTGCATTCCAAGAGAGCTTATCCCACAAGTGGGCTTCAAATCGACCAGTCCATCGATGCCTGTTGACAAACAGTTTACCTTAATATTTCTACACATGAAACAAAAAGAAATTTCTGCCTACAACAATCATAACACCACTGAAATTTGTTTCCGATTCAAACCTGCTGACACCGCGAAATCTTGAACTTCTCTTCGTTGTGGTAGCAGAAGTTTGATCAGCTGGTTTTTGTGGCAAATGCTTCTCACTCTGGCTGTTGTCACAACTAACCGCAACTGCAGCCGGGTCTCTTCTCCTTCTCTTGACACACCGTGATTCCTGAGCCTCACGATCCACTGTGCTCAAGCGGCGCCTCCTAGTGTTCTCTTCATTCTTCACCATCATCATCTCCATTTCCTATAATAACTAAGCACTCAGGATTCTTTCCTCTGCTTTCTACAATTCTGTTGTTGTTTGTTCCTATGGTTGCTTGAACTGGAAGGATGCTCAACTGTATTATATAACATGTGTGCTTGTTTTGGCCTTAAGCTGTTTTGTTTTGTGCTGCCACAACAATATTACATCAGAAAACAAAGGAGACGATGATTTCGGAGCATCTGAGACAAATTTCAAAGTCCGTACTCTGTTTGGTAATCCCGAAGATCCAAAAGTCATTGTGGTTTTGGATTTGCTCATATGTGAGGTGAGGCCTCAAATTTTAGTGCCAGTTACAATTCTTGAAGGGTTTTCCTAGTCAATCCAATGAGTAGATTTCAATAATTCACAAACACCAAAAGCAAATCCTATAGATTTAAATACCTACGGATATGCCAATGCGTATTTGTTCATATTGAAATTCCAATGCTTATTTGCTCATAATGAAATGCCAATGCTTACCCCATTTCAGCCCCCAAGCGGTCCACTCAAAGTTTTGCTTCATACCACAGGAAGATCAGAAACAACCCTGAAATGACGATTATACCCCACTAAATGACAAGGGCATTTTTGATAGTTCAAGTTTGGTTCCAATTTTTTTTTTTTCTTCCCAAAAACAAGCGATACTCTAAATTAATATAATTTACGCAGAAGTACTTGACTAATATAGTATGTGCTTCTTCAAAAATCATTTTCCAAGCTATTTGGGAGTGCTTCTGGAAATGCTAAAAGTACTTTTGACAGCGTTTGACTAATATACTATGTACTTCTTCGTGAAGCACTTGGATTTTTTTCAATGGAAATTCAATATTTTTATAATAAAAGTGCTTTTGTTAGAAGCACTTATAAACAGAAGTACTTCTTAGAGAAGTTGAGCCTTGAGAGAAGTAATTGACTTTTCAACATTATTCTATAAAATCACTTCTAAAAAAATATTTATGAACAATGCATAAAAGCAAAATTTCCAGTGTAAGTTGTGTTTGTAGTGAGCTGTAAAATAAGACGGGCATCAAACACTGTTTCATTTTTTCATTTCCAAAAAAAAAAAAAAAGAGAAAAGGAAAAAAAAGAAAAGATTGGCTTCTTCAGACCACCAAACCGCAGAGCCTCATTTCAGTCCCAAGTCACAGAAACCTCGACGACCACCATGGCGGTCACTACCACCGCCTTCTTCCTTCTTCTGATCCTAACTGCCGCCATAGCCACCACCAGCTCCGCCCCAATCCTTGGCCTCGACACCTTCCTGACCCACCAGTCCCGCCTTGACCGTCAAGCCACCAACGACTCCTTCCTCTCTCTCTCCTCCACCCTCAGAAACTCCCTTTCCCATTCTTCCCCTCTCTCCCACACCCCTCACTCCCTCATCTCCTCTCTCCTCTCTCTCTCCCTCCCTCTCTCTCTCCACGTCCGCCTCGTCGGCTCCTCCTTCCCCTCCTCCTCCTCCTCCCTCCTCTCCTCCTTCCTCTCGGCCTCCCAATCCTCCAACCACTTCCACGTCATCGCCCCCTACGAAACCCGCTCTCACCGCCTCGCCATACAGCACTCTCTTCACCTTGACGTCACTCACTCTCCTTCTTTAGCTTCCCAACTCTCCAAAACCCTAAACTCTGAGCTCGAGAAAACCCCTTCCAGCCTCCGATCCCCGCTTCTCTCCATCCCCTACGACCCGATTGACCAGATCATCAAGCAGGACTTCGAGAAAGAGAAGCCCGTTCCTGGGGTTTACTTGTATTTTCTGAATTTGGGTCCCCAGTCCAAGCCTTATGCTTATAACTATGGATCTGGGGACTCTTCCGCTGCTTTCACCAAGTGTTTGGGGAGCATCTGGACTGGCAAAGACAGGTATATCTGGATTGACTTGGGTGCTGGCCCGGTCGATTATGGCCCGGCTCTTTCCGGTGATGGGGTTTTGCCCAGAGGTGAGTTTCATCCTCTCGCGGCGTTGCACGGTCGTCCCAAGGCTCAAAAGGCTTTGCTTGCTGACTTGGCTTCCTTGGTTTGGAGTGCTTACCAGGTTCTTCTTGTGCCCTCTTTGAGAATTCCTGTTCAGTTTGAGAATTCATTGATTGTTCAGTTTATTCACGTTTATGGGTCTGAGGGCAGTAAGGATTCTAGTGGTTTGGAT